AATTCTTCAGTTCATCTGTTTTTTACAAAGATTAAAGAGATTGATAGGAAAAAAATGAAGCCTTGTCTTGGACTGAACAAAATAATCAATCTGATGAAAAAATGAAGAAGAATTTACTTTTTCATTCCTTCATTCACTCAACAAATATCTACTTAGCTCCTTGTACATAGCTGGCATTTCCACAACTCAAATGAGAGCAAAGTACCTTTCTCATAACCTTTAATGTAGTTGCTGGGTTGGGAGCAAGGGAGAAAGACAGTAACTAACAAACAAATAATAATATATTAGGGGTGCTAAAATATATAAAAGAAAAAAGATGCAGGGTAAGGAACTAAATAGTATTGATAAGGAGGACAGTGAAGGTCTTTTTGATCAGATGATATTTGAATAGACATCTGGAAGAACTAGGAGAGAGGGAATCAGAAATATATTTCAAGGCAGCACATTCCAGGCAGAGGACTGTGCGTTCAGGATTGGAGGTAGGGTCATGCGTGGTCCATCCAAGCTATAGCAAGAAGCAAGCAAGTGTGATTGTAACAAAGTGAGAGAGGAAAAGAGACTTAGGAGGTAAAGTCAGGAAGTCATCAGAATCTTGGAAGTCATGTAAAGACTTGCCCTTCAATTGAGAGATGAAAAACCATGTAGAGTTCTGAGGGGAGGAATGATAGAACCCAAGGCACATTTTAAAAAGGTGAGCCTGGCTGCACTTTGAAGTAGAGAAGCCAGTTTAATAGGCATTCAAGAGTTCAAGCAAAAAATGGCATGAACCACTCCATGGCAGTGGAGGTAGTAAACTGACTTGTGGAATGTGAGAGAAACAGAAATCAAGGATGCCACCAAAATGTTACCCTGAACTACTGGAAGTATGGCTGATCACAAAGTGAGATGAAGAAGAGTATTAAAGAAGCAAGTTTGAGGGAGAAAATTGGACCTTTGGTTTTGAACACATTAGGGTTTTGCCTTTAAACTTACAGTGGATATGCCAAAGAGGCAGTTTGCTATGTTCTCTGGAAATCAGAGAAGAGGTCAGGACTGGAGTTGTTAGCATACAACTGGTAGTTAAAACCCAAGACTGCATTAGTCCACCTGAAGATTCAGTATATATCTAGAAAAGAAAGTTCAGGTATAACTTGTTTTGAGTTTCAGTTTTAAGGATTGTTCCTCCTGTCTCTTGAATCGTCTTGAATCAAGAAAAGTTGAAAGTTTTTCTCCTCTCTACTGGACCATTGCAAGTGCATATCAATACATGTTGTAATACCTGTCATCTTCTATTTCTCTCTCTCCTTAATAGCAAAAATCCTTGAAAGAGTTGTCCATTCTTGCTGTCTGCAATTCTCCTCACCTATGATTCCATTGGGATAAAATAATTGATATTTGGCTGGGGAAGTAGACTTATTCATGCATTTTTTTTCTTTTTCATATACATGCATACCAAAAAGCTTTTACATAGGCATAGTTTTAAGAGAACTATTTTTAATGCAGCCATAACAGAATCATTGAAAAGTATATGGTTGAAACTCTTTTGTTTCCTCCCTCACTTCTGCATTTCTTCTCTGTAGCCCGAAATTTCAGCTAAAAAATTCATGCTGTGAAACAAATGATAGTGTTTCTCCTCCAGTAGTACTTTGATTTGCTGAAATAATTTGGGATAAAATAATATATAATTTGTTTCAAAATAATCTTATTAGAGAAGGAGATGAACTGAGTAGGTGAAGCTGGCCCTGAGTTGATAGTTGATGAAGCCTGGTGATAGGTATATGGTCATTCCTTATACCATTCTCTGTACTTCTGTATGTGTTTGAAAATTTCCAAATATAAAGTGAAAAATGAAAAAAACTTACTGTCAGTACTGCACTTAATCCAAAGAAATCTATTACAATGGTGAAATTTCAGATAATTTGTTAACAGGTGAAGGAAATATTTTGGGGCACAGGAATTTTCACAAATCATTACTAGTTCTTTTGGTTTCTTATACAGCACAAAAACTTTTCATGTACAGCACAAACTTTTGTTTTTTCAATCAGGAAGTATCTTAGTTGCATTAAGATAGAATTAATTTGGATGTTTATTGTGCAAATAATTTGGAAGCCTGGACCTTTAAAACTGAAGCCTGGTTCTCTTAAATATCCTCTTACTTTAGGTAAGCGTAAAGAAATCTAAGAACACCTATGATACAAAATATGTTCTAAGGTAAAATAATATTACAGTTACAAAATAATGCTAATCCAGCTGATTACTATTTAAAAGAATAATTGATTATGCACTGAACGTAAAATTACATTGCAATAATAGTTAACACCTTTTATTAATAAAGAAGGTAATTTCTAAATTTGTCACTCTTATATTGCCCTATAAAAATTTAGGTTAAAAAAAGATTTTTAACCTTGCAAAGTGAACAAATGTAGAAACAACAGTGTTGCTACATTAACTCTTCAAATATTAACCACTAAGTATTCTTTAGTGTTTTCCAGTTACTCATTAACTATTTTATACTGTTATTGTTTCTCCAATTGTTGGTGATTTCCACCAAAGAAAGTTGAAAGACATTTTTGTAGATTAGAAAAATAGATTTTATTAACAACATCTCCTTGATCACCATATATTCATTATTAAAAGTCTACTATAGTATGTATTTGGGACCTAAAAATCCTACTTCAAAAATTAAACCCAAAGTTATGTTGTTGTGCAGTTTATGGTTACTTGTGTATGCCTTTATTTTCCTAAACTTTCCTTGGTGTAAACTACTGAACAAGGGAACAAGATTTCTTTTGTAACTGATACCTAAATTTCTATTCTGCTTTAAGCATCTAATTTGCACTGTGAAGACATATAATTTGAGACTTGTAGCTCTATCATGGAAGTACAACAGTTTATGCTGATCTCTAATTTTCTGAGTTGTACTGGCTATAATTTAAATTTTTTGCATGATTTTAACTGCAACGCAAACCACTATACATCAGAAACCTTTGTATATTGACAGAGACTGGGAAAAGGATGTCTTGTTCTGATTTCAGATAAGCATTCCCTTTTCACAACTGCAGGTGCAAGGGAGCCCATTCATAGCATTTGCTTCAAACCAGTTCTAGTCACTGGATGAAAATACAATGCTATTACATGAGAACTTGACTGGTTTTTACAAGGACATGAAAAAAAGTTTTTAATGTTTATCCATTTTTGAGAGAGAGAGAGAACGCAAGTAGGGGAGGAGCAGAGAGAGGGGGACACAGAATCTGAAGAAGGCTCCAGGCTCTGAGCTGTCAGCACAGCTGAACTGTGAGATCATGATCTGAGCCAAAGTTGGATACTTAGCTGACTGGGCCACCTAGGTGCCCACGAATATTTTTAAAGTATTGTTATTAGTAGTAAATTCTAGAAGGAAGTAGCACTTTTTTCTTTGTTAAGTGTATTTGGGACAAAATATACTCTGTTGACACAGTCTTGGTCATTTTACTATTGTGTGTGTGTGTGTGTGTGTGTGTGTGTGTGTGCGTGCGTGCATGCACACACATACATGTATGTTTTTACTAAATCTAGAAAAATACTTTGTCACTTATTAATGGAAGATGGAATTATACCTGGTGGAAAATATATTGCAATTAATGCATGTTCCACTAAAGAGATAACTGATAGTGTTACTATTTCCTTTGCTTTAAATTTCACTTATGTGAAATAAACATATAAGCCAAAATATAACTACAAGATAAAAATTTACTCTAAATTGCTCTCATTTAACATAATTGGGTAAATCTCCTTTTGAAACAAATATTAGACAATGATATGTGCAACAAATGAGTGAAACTAGCTGGATGTTTCCATTATAAACTCTTACTTATAAGGTTATGACTTGATCGTTTTTATTAGCTTCAGGTAGAAACATGGCACATCAATTCAATGTATAAAAGAAAATTTTAGTCTGGAAAACAATTACAACCCTATACTTCAACAGCAGAGGTCAGAGAAAAGCTCTAACAGAATTTAAAGGCTTGATGACCAAACACAAAATACAGTAATTTTTTAAAAAATGGCAATAACATTTGCATTGGCAAAAATAAATGTTTGGCCTAGATTTAAAACTAAGAAGATCTCATCACAAATTGATGATTAGTACTATTATTTACTGCATGTTTTACTGTTTGTGAACAATCCAGTACAGCTAGCTTAAATTTGCATGTAATTCAAAAGTGCCACACCTTTTCTTACACTATTTGACTTGAGCATCCTTGTGATTTACAGAGGGAGGTGCATCCTCACTTGTAAAATAAGGACAATATACTTTATAAAGAAGTATCATTTCCAAATCCAGGCAATTCTGATAGAAGTGGCTTGCCTGGATTAAATGGTGTCAATCCTACTCTAAATTTATGTCTTTGGGTCTCAGTCTCAGGGGCTGATCTTACTGAGGATCAATCGGCTAGGACTTTTTGTTAAAGATGAAAACAAAAATCATGACTTAAAGAATATTCCTAGTGTGTTTAATTCATTCAGGTTGAGCACTATGGTAGAAGCAACTTGTATGCAGCCATCTTCTCATGGACTCAAAACCAGAAGACTCACTCCCATTATACCAATTTGTATCCTCAGCCTTGAATCAATTCCAAGTTAGTGGTTAGTAGATCCACATGCAGAAATATGGGGGGGCATCTTTAAAGATGACATAAAGGAGAATGCCTTCAAGGATGGAGCAGAACCCCTAAATTGGCTTATGTAAATATGACCTTCCATTCCTCCAAACTTCCATTCTATTACTGCTTGCCCCAATCCCGGGACCAACACACAGAGTCTTCGTGTAATTAGTCATTGCTGTCACTCCTGGACGGAAACACTTCACACCTGGCCTAACTCAGGCCGCCTGAAGGGAGGACGCTGCCACACACTCGCCCTTCTGAAGTTCTCAGGACAAGGAGGCTGACATTGGGTCACTTACCTGGCCAGGATGTGCTTCATCACAGACCAAGACCTTTGGGGAAGAGAAGAAAACAAAAGAAAACAAAATAACTTACCACTGTGGCCCAGTCCAAGAACAACTAAAAACACCCAGGCCGCCCGAAGGAATGGGGCAGGACCTGGCCGGCAGTTTTGCAGGCAGACAAATGCGGCAGTAAAAAAAGCCAGGGCGGAGCGGCACATAATGCAAAGCAGCCTGCACAGCGCCCGCCGCCTGGCTGCGATCCGGATGCGCGCTGGCGACTCCCGGGCGCACCTCGGGGCCCGCGGGCCAAGTGTCGCTAAGACGTTTCCCGAAGGCCCAGCAGGCGGACCCCTCGGCTCGTAGCAAGTGGTGCAGGTACGCCGGACCGGGCACCGCTTGGCATCTCAGGGCCCCCGCGGCCCTGCCAGCTCTGCTCCGCGGTCCCGCGATCTCCGCGAGAAGTACCTCCTCAGACGGTCAATGGCCCGGGGCGGCGACGCGAGCGAAGGCTCCGCAGCCGGCTCAGGGACAAAGAAAAGAGCTTTTGTTTCTCTCCAGCCGATGGGGCTTCTGCTGCATAAATCAGCTTACTGAACAGCCAAACAGAATCAAACCCAAACAAAGCCCGAAGCCTGGGGGAAAAACCAGCCTAAAGTACTATCACTGGGTGATGCTGCATCTGTGGGAGGGGACGCCGGCGAGGCCGAGGGGGAAAAAAGTCGATGACGCATCAATCAGCGCGAGCTTCTTCCACAGGTGGGCAGGGAGGCCAACTCCACTTAGCTACAGCTTTGCAGCCTCGTCAGCTGAGCAGCGGGCAAAGTCAGTGCGGCAGCGTCCGGGCTAGCGAGGGAGGAAGCTCAGGGTGCCAGTAGCAGGGGATGACGGCTCCGGCGGCACCCTAGAAGCCCCTGTCGGCGCCCGCGGACGCAGAGCGTGGCATAGTAGCTCCCCGCTCCGCCGGGAGTGGAGGCACGGCCTCTAGCGCAGGAGAGGAGGTTCCGCGACGGTGCAGTAGCCCGGCCTTGCGGGGCGGGAGCTTCGTACCCTAGTCCTTCTGGCCCCGGTGTGTGGCTCAGGCGACCCGCCGTCCAGAACCCGGGCAGCTGGCGCACTCTGGGGTACACCCTGCTAGCAGGCGAGGGTGGGGAGCAGGGGTCCCGCTCCGGCCCCCGGGTTGCGGGGGGTGGGGGGGGCTCCCGAAGTGCTGATAGCTGGGCGCGCTCGGGGCCGCGAGTTGCTAGGAAACCGCCCCACGCTACCCAGCGCCTCGCCCCGGCCGCCTGCAGGCGCAGCGCCGGCTCCGGCGGCAGCAGCAGCAACAGCTCCGAGCAGCGTGGGCGGGACATTGGTGAGGCATGAAGTCACCGCGGCCCACACTCGCTCTTTGTTTTGCTCACTCCAGCTCTTTTTCTCCCCCTTGGCTCTGATAGTTGCCATTCCCATCGTTCACAAGAGCTCCCGAAGCGTAGCTGCGCAACAAGAATCGCTCTCCCTGTTTCCTTTCCCCCTCCTCGTGGAATCCCGACACCCCAACCCTCCCCTAGCCGGTGTGGAGACTTGCTTAGTACTAATGGCAGCTGCGCTCAAATCCTAGCCTCTCACCCGGGCACTCTGCGCTGCTTTGTTCCGAGATACTCACTGCCGGGCAGCTGCAGCATACAAAGTGGAACCCAGGGGCCTCTCCCCGCCCCCAACACCCTCTGTTCCGCGGGTGCGCACTGCCAACTTTGCAGATTTAGGAGCTCACCATTCACCCCACCCCAAGACCATCCGGCATCTTCCCAGCACTTGGAGAGTTGGGCCAGTCCGCAGAAGCTGTACCCGGAGCTGCTAGCTGAAGTTTCTCGCGCCTCCTTCTCCTCTCGGAGCCTCAGCCCTCGGCTGGGCTCTTCACAAGATCTGGTGGTGGCTCTGGGTTTTTGCTAGTTACAGTGGGTCTTTTGACCTTAAGCGTCACCTTTCAAATAAACGGAACAAAGAAGTTACGAAGTGTGGCGAACGAAGCAGGAGGGAGAAGCTAAGGAGAGGATGAGAGAGGGCATTTTTGCCTGCTTGTAGTTCAGAAATTTAAGTGCAAAAAGAGAGCGGGTATGAAGCTGGGCAACTGTCAGGGAAGCCGCGCGCCTCCTCAGATCCTGTTACTACCACTCTAGACCGAGGGAGGAAACCCAGTCCCCCGGATTGAAAACAAGGCACTGTTTTCAATCTGAGAAACAGAGTGATGGTTTTCTTTTTCCTCTAGGGGCAGGAGTGGTTCCCTGTGGTAAAGTCTGACCTCTCATTTTTCCACTAGCAGCCTGCTTAACGTCTTTCATAGAGCACCCGCCCCTTACAGGCATCAGACCAGTCCAGCCAGGTCAAGGTGAAATATGTGGGAGTTTCCCCTCCTTCTTATTTGTTTAATAGTTTCCATCTCCATATTTGGAGTAAAAAAACAAGTAGGAGGCTTTCTCTCTCTCTCTCTTTTTTTTTTTTTTCTGTTTTCTAATTGTTAACTGAGTGAATGGAAAGTACCTGGTTAATAAGCCACAACATTGAAAACTCCCCCTTTTCAGGTGTGGACTGCACATTGGGACCCACAGAATTAGCTAAGCAAACCAAGAACCCAGCTGGAAAATTACAATTGCCCTAGATCTACAAAGAAGGTTCTTTTGAGAGACCAAATGAATGAATGATCCAAACCTGAAAAACATCCTTGTAAACACAATTCACCATTGGCAATGTACTCTAAATAGAATTAAATCAAGCTCAGCCTTATAACTTATTTCTTTAGTTACAGGTTTGAACAGCTCTAGTTTTGCTTTAGATGATGTTAAAGGAAAGGCCTGAAAATTACCTGGGATGAGGTGAGGACTTTAAATTTGAACATAAAAGGAGCATATTTTAACTCCTATTAGCCATTCTTCAGTGGGGCAACATGTGTATTTTCCAGAGATTATTTCACAGTCATAAGGTAGGTAGTCACCACTGAGACAGTGTCGTGCTACAGTGAAGAAAAAAGTTAATTCATAATCGCTGTAAGGAAGTGTGTATAAGTGCACTCTACACTGCAAAGTGACTATCACATCAGAGTTACATGACATATTTAAAAATCTAACTCTTCATGTTGGAAATGTAAATGACAGTTATGGTATTAAATAAAATATAAGCTTATGTAAATAATAATGGGTATAGTTTTGTGACATTGAAGAGGTATGCACTAATTTTTAACTATATATATCCTCTTTGATTTATGGTGGGGTTACATGTTCACAAATCCATAATAAGTTGAAAGTACTCTAAGTTGGAAATGCATTAATAAACCTAACCTACTGAACTTTGTAGCTTGGCCTAGCCTAGCTTAAACACACTAGGAACATGTACATTAGCCTGCAGTTGGGCGATATCATCTAATGCAAAGCCTGTTTTATAATAAAGTATGGAATATCTCATGCAATCTATTGAATACTGTATTGAAAGTGAAAAACAGATGGTTGTTTGGGTACAGAATGGTTGTAGATATATTGGCTGTTTACCCTAGTGATTGCTCGCCTGACTGAACAGCAGCTAGCTGGTGCTGCCAGCATGAGAGATAGGTACCCTACCACACATATCACTCAGAGAAGATTTGAATATGGTTTCTACTGAACTCATATCACTTTTGCATTATTGTAAAGTCAAAAAATCTTAAGTCAACCATTGTTAAGTAAAGGACTGCCAGTATTATTAGATGTCTAAATACTCTATACCAAAAAAACAGTGTAGCAAGAGGAATAAAATAAAGTTTGTAAATCTGTTGCAGGAAATTTTGAAGCCATTTAAAAAGAAAGACTTCCATGTTTTGTTATATGAGCCCCATACAAATATATATCAGAATGCCGGTTTTATGGAGTCGTTGAACAATAATTACAGTGCCATTTGTCAACACTTCCCATTTGTAAAAAGGTTATAATTCTGGCTATCAAAATAAAATAAGACAGTATCCCAGATGAGACTGTGATCCTAGCAAGCTATTTACAAACAAGTCAACTGTACATTTTGGGCTATAAACATATAAGTGAATTCTCCTGTGCCCTGCAAATCATCTATAAGGTTTTCTTTCAGTAAATAAAATTAGGGCCCAGGCACCAAGTTTGCTTATTTCCAGTAAGTACCACTGATCACTACAACTTAATCCTTTTTACCCATAAGAAAATATACAAGATACTATGAAGAAATAGAGTATTGTTGTCTTTATCATATTACCTGAAGGATCTTAACAGGAGGAAAAAATTTCCAGATCATGGCAAGTTGATTAATTCCTGTTTCCATCCTGTTCTGCTGTCTTGCTTTGAAATTTCTGGCAGCTAATTTTTCATCATTTGTGGTAATGAGAGCAAATGAAATTCACAGATAGTCTAAAAATAACATTTTAGCTATTCATTGAAGTCTTCCTATCATCAGATTCTTTTAGTTGCTAATAAGTCATAAAATTAGATGAATTCAGTTTCTTCCCTGCTCTTGATTTCTTGCTAACTCAGTTTATGACTAGCAATGAATAGGCTATGGATTGATAGTAACAGTGAGAGATATATGAGAGACTACTTTTGTCATGTGTTCAACCTTTAACTAGATTTTGTCCAAGTTATTGACCTCATGGTTATAGTTAAACCATATACATATTTAATATTATATCTTTCTGAAGTTAAGATCAGATATTCAGTACATTTTAAGCAGAAGTTGACAAGTTATCTATGAGCTTGCTTCATCTACAGCTCTAAGGAGATGATGAATGATCCAGTAAATGGGATGTATTATTGTGACAATGGCTTCTAGAGTCTACCAGTGATAAAGAACATAAGCTACTGGAAGACAGTTTTCACTGAAATATTCCATAAAGTACAGTTCCTCATACTGCGAACTGAAGACTGCCTACAGTATAATCACCTGTGAAGTGACTCCTTAGCTCTATTCCAGGAGATTCTGAGTTCATAGATCTGGTGTGGTATACAGCAATATTTATTATTAAAAGATCCTCAAGTGGTTCTTTATGCAGTAAGGTTTAAGAACCTCTATGATAATGCATTAATACAGAAACTCCTCAAGGGCCTCAAGGGCTTATTGACAAACTCCAGTGTCAGATGCAAAGCCAAAGATAAAAGAATTGCTGGGGCCAATGTCTCTTCTCAAAGGATTCTATGGATGATTAACTCTATGAGATGTTAGTGTTTTCAGAAACAGACTTGCATGACTAAGTTTGGGAAATGCTGAATTCAAGTTAAGTTAAATCTTTTACAGGAGGATTTTCCAGAAATTTATACAGGCTAAAATGCAACTAGATTATTCAAAAGAAGAACTCTTTATTCAGAGAACATTTCACAGACTAATTTTCCATAAAGCATACTGCTGAATGAATCCTATCTTACAAATGTGGAAACTAAGAATAAGATTAATGAGGAGATAAACTTTACTTCTTGAAGAGAATTATTGAGCGACATAATCAGAGACCTTAGTCTTGTCCACCACCTCATATCAGTGATGACTTTTGGTTTCAA